AGGAGGAGGAGGAGGAGGGGGAGGGGGAGGGGGAGGAGGAGGGGGAGGAGGCCTGGACATTGGCACCAACACCAGCACAGGGGGCTTGCCTCCACATGGGGAAGATGATCCTACATTTCGGTGTTGGTGGTAACATTTCGGTCACCATGGAAGCCAGAACATTACCACCATCGCCGAGATCGGGATCGTCTTCCCTCGGTGGAGGCACACCGCCGATCTTGGTGTTGGTGTCAACCTGTCGGCCTGCGAACAAAAAGGCTCGCGATGGCGAAGCCCTCGACGCCATCTTGATGCGGCATTCTCCCGAGCCGGATCGATCGTCGAAGGCGCCTGGGGCCCGCATCGAAGCACCTGGGGCCCGCCGTTGTTTTCCCACGCCTCCTGGATTTGACAGTCTTCCTCCCTCTGGCCAGCTTCCGGGCCGTAGCTCAGGCCGCAGGCGCCGTCGGGGGCGACTCCGGGCTGCCTGGAAAAGGAGGCCCCGGACGAGGCGCAGCTGGTGGAGAAGCAACTCCGAATGCCTCCGAGAGATGTTGGCCAGCGTGGGCCCCGAACTGGATGTTCCTAGCACCATGTGCTATTCAATCGATGTGGGGCAATGTACACCACGCGAAATGCTTAAGAAATCATGGGTTAAGAAATTCATGGTCTCAGAACTTGACTAAAAACCCAACATTTCTATCAAAATCATAGGATTTACATTGAAACATTAAGAATAATCGAGACTCTGGCCGAAAACTTAAGTTTTCTTAAGCATCGCCTAGGGTGTATGTGGTGGACTCAATGTGGTGCAATTCGCATGGCTGAACTTTCCATTGTCAAGTGCACCGCTCGCGCAATCGTCCCTCCCACCCACCCGCAGCATGGTCTGCAAAACCCACGCGGCGGCGATTGCGATGACTCTTTGGCGCTGGCTGGCGCATCGCTGCGGCCGCACTGGCGCGCGCAGGCTCGCGCGCAGAGCGGCCAGCTAGTTTGGCGCGACCGACGCGGCCGCAGTGGCGCGATCAGTGTTGTGCTAATCTATATACGATGGGGGTATTGGATAAGGAACCCTTAGATAAGAAATCCACGGCATGGATGACGGTGGAACTCCACTCGAAGCTTGGCCATGGATATCACCGCCGCCCTCATCAGATAGGGATTCCTCCAGGGTCTGCAGCCTCCTGGGCGCATTCCTTAACTAAAGCCCCCCACCGTATTGCGATTTATGTTGTGCAGTTTATCTGGTACAATCAAGCGACGGCGACGGGTGGCGACGAGGCGGCGACAGGCGGCGACGGCGACAACATAGCCGCTAGACCGCTACACTGGCTCAGACGGAGGGCGGCGACGAGGCGACGGCGACGACATAGCCGCCAGACCGCCACACTGGCCCAGACGACGGGCGGCGACGAGGCGGCGACGGGGCGGCGACGGCGACAGCACAGTCGCCAGACCGCCACACCTGCCGAACTCGTTCGAACAGGCATAGGACCCCCTGAGTGCAAGCACTGGTTGGGGAAACATCGGAACGCGCGAAAACCGTCGGGAACCTCCGGAAAATGTACCTAAGTCGGGCCTGTCCCCCTACAGGCGGCGAAATAAAACAAATAGTCAAACAATACCCAAAAATGGTGAAGCATAATCACAAAATCGTCCCCCGACTATTTTTTGACTGGACTATTTTTGGATATCCCTCCTGTAGAGGGACAGGCCCGACTTAAATATACTGCCCCCGCAGCTGGTGGCGAGGGGGCGCGCCTGCGCTGGGCCAGCGACCGGCACGCTGCTGGTGCGGCGGGTGCAAGGGCCCCTGTACGAGGCGGCCCCGCACCCGCCCGACCGCAGCCACACTCCCCAAGAAGAGGGAAACGTCACCATGACGACCCCAGCGAAACCCTGGGGCCACCTCTTCCTCCTCCCAGTCCTCCTCCTCCTCCCCCCCCCCCCCCCCACACCCTCCCCCCCCCCCCCCTCCACCCCCTCCCCCCCTCTCCTCCCTTCTCCTCCCCCTCCTCCTTTTCTCCTCTCACCCTCCTCCTCCTCCTCCTCCTCTTCCTCCTCCTCCTCCTCCTCCTCCTCCTCCTCCTCCTCCTCCCCCTCCTCCCCCTCCTCCTCCGACCCCATCTAGGAGGCCCAGATACTTGCTGCCCGCCTCCGCGCCAGGCGGACTGTGGATCCGGGGCGCGCAAACATGGACTAGCGATCCATGGATTTGGCGCGCGCGGTCGGGGGAGGTGCCCTCCCCAAAATGTGGTCGGTGCCGCCTCGCTCGGCGGCGGAAGTCCGCGATTCCCGATGGAAACGGGACCCGTCGTCAATCCACGCCCCCTTGATCCATGTTTGCGATCGCCTGGAAGAAGAGGGGAACGTCACCATGACGACCCCAGCGAAACCCTGAGCACGCAGACGTAGGCGAGAGGGCCTCGAGCGCCGCACCCCTCGGGGCCCGGACCGCGGGGCCGAGCCGAAGCCGCGTCGGAGCCAGCGCGGGCTGGATGCTTGCTATCCCGCCTCCGCGTCAGGCGGCGGCCACTGCGAAACAGAGCCCCCTGGGGCCACCTCGGGGCCAGCGGGGGGCGAGCACTTTAGAGAACTCCTAGATGGGGTCGGAGTAGATGGGGTCGGAGGATCGCGCCGCATCGCCGATACATCGGCGATGCATCGGTGATGCATCGGCGATGCATCGGCGGTGCACTGGCGATGCATCGTCGAGGTGGGCGATGCATCGGCAATGTCGACTTACAGCAAATCGGGCTCCGCATCGCGCCGCATCGCCGATGCATCGGCGATGCGGCGCGATCCTCCGACACCATCTAATTCACGTCCCCGCAGTTCCTCTGCCTCCTCCCCTCCCTCCTCCTCCCTCCCTCCTCCGCCCCCCTACTCCATCCTCCTCTCCTCTCACTCCTCCTTCCTCCTCCTCCTCCTCCTCCTCCTCCTCCTCCTCCTTCTCCTCCTCCTCCTCCGACCCCATGGAGGCTCAGATACTTGCCGCCCGCCTCCGCGCCAGGCGGACCGTGGATCCCTCGCAGCCGCGGGGGCAGGCTGACCCCCGCCGACGGCGTGAGCCGCCGCTCCCGCGGGAGCGGCTCGAGCCACGAGCCCGAGCTCTGGCAGAAACCCCTGGAGGCTCACAAGACGGACATTCTCCAAGCCGAGGGGCCCCGTCTCGGCTGCAGATTCCTACTCCCCCGCAAAAGCTCCGGCTTGGGGGGCAGAATGAGGCCCCAGCGACCTCGGACATGGGCCTCGGACCTCGGAGTCCGCACCGAGACCTGGAGGAGAACAAGGGGGTGAGGAGGCGAAGACGGAGAAGCAGGAAGAGTGGGAAGGGAGGATAAGGACCAGCCGGAGGAGGACAAGAAGGGGGAGGAGGAGGAGGAGGAGGAGGAGGAGGAGGAGGAGGAGGAGGAGGAGGAGGAGGAGAACGAGAAGGGACGAGCAGGAGGGGGGAGAGGGAGGACGGGCAGGCAGAGGAGGGCAGCAGACGAGGAGGGAGGGAGACGGCAGCAGCAGAGCAGAGAGGAGAGGGAGCAGGAGGAGAATGGGAGGTCCTCCTCCTCCTCATCCTCCTTTTCCTCCTCCGCCTCCGCTCATCTACCTCCTCCTCCTCCTCCTCTTCCCCCCCCCTCCTCCTCCTCCCCCTCCCCCTCACATGAGGCTCGCTCCGCCTCCCCCCCTCCCGTGATGGAGGGAGGAGGGGGGCATCGCGCGCAAGCGTCACACTTGTCTTGCATACCCCGTTCGCCTTGCGGCTCGATCAGGAGGAGGAGGAGGAGGAGGAGGAGGAGGAGGAGGAGGAGGAGGAGGAAGAGCAGGAGCAGCAGCAGGAGGAGAACCAAGGGCTCCCGGGAGCACCGGAGGCCCCCGGCGGGCCGCCCGGGGGCCTCGGCGTCCGTCGCGGGCGGGGCCGCGGCGCGGCGGAGCTCCGCCCGCCGCCGCTCCGCCGAGCGCATGTGCGCCTGCAGCTGGGCAACGCCCGCCTGCGCCGCGCGCTCCACCTCGCCGCCGCCGACGACGACGGCGACGGCGACGGCGACGGCGACGGCGACGGCGACGGCGACGACGGCGACGACGGCGACGGCGACGGCGACGGCGACGGCGGCGACGACGGCGGCGACGGACGGCGGAGGCGGACGACGGCGGCGGCGGCCCCAGGTGCGACCACGGCAGCGGGGTCGACGATGGCACACCACGACAGCAGCGGCGACAACGACGGCGACGGCAGCAGCAGCAGCGGCGGCGACCTCGGCCCTCCGGGCCAGAGCCGCAGATATGATGTCCTGCACCTCGGCGTCGCCCGAGGTGCTGAGGCCCTCCGCGCGGCCGAGGGCCTCCTGCGCCGCCGCCACCTTTGCCGACACGTCGGCGTCGTCGTCGCCCGCGTTCTGCGCGAGGAGCTTCTGGACCTGGTCCTGGATCGCCTTGAACAGGGCGGCGGTAGAGGCCCCGCGCCTCTTGACGACGCCGACGACGACGTCGCCGAGTAGTTACCGACTGACGACCGACGACGCGACGGCGGACGACAGAGGGCAGCACCGAGCAGTGCCTCTTGACGCTGCCGAGGAGCCCCGTCAGGCTCTTCGAGCCAAGCCGCAGCTCGTCGAGCAGGTGCTTGCGGATGGCCGCCTCCTTTGGCCCACGGCCGCGGCCCCCCTTTCCTGTTGGTGCTCCTCCGCTGCGTTCGCTGCGGTTGCTCTCACTGCTGCCTGCAGCTCGCTGCACCAGCTCCTGGCTCTGCTCCTTCCACTGCCACTCCTGCCCCCGACGCTGCACCTCTTCCCCACCCTCCTCCGCTTCCTGCTCTTGCCTTTTGCTGCTTCATCTCCTCCTCCTCCTCCTCCTCCTCCTCCTCCTCCTCCTCTTCCATCTCCTCGTCGTCCTCCTCATCATCCTCCTCGTCCTCCTCCTGCTCCCTCTTCCTAGATCTTCCTAGCCTTCTCCTCCTGGTGATGCTCCTCCTCCCCTGCAGGAGCAGGAAACCGAGGAGGGGGGGGGGAAGGGAGGCGTGCGAACGAAGACCCAGACCTCCGACGACTCGCTGCCCTCGAGTCGCCAGCCCCTGGACCTCCGGACCCCATTTGCTGGGGCAGGGGCCCGTCCCAGGGCGCTCTCGCTTTGAAGGGGCCCAGGGGCACACACATAAATACACACATAAAGCCCAGGATTCCCGATATTTCCCCATATGTTCTGGGCTTCCGCCTTCCGCCCTACTTCCCATATTTTCCCATATTTTCGTGGGAATCGACGATTAATTGTGTGTTTTTTTCCCTCCTGACGCGCTTGTCGGCCCCAGGCCTGGGAACGCCCCCCCCCCACCCCCCTCCAGAGAGGCCGAGCCTCGCGAAAAAACCCTTCCGTCCGGGGACGGCGACGGCGATGCCCGGCTGGTCTTGGGGCAGGCCCCCGTGGTCCGAATCGGATCGGTCGGATCAGAATGGACCCTGCCTTGTCGCGCACCGATGCAGAGCTCGATCTTCGATGCAGCTCTCCTCCTACATATTAGTCTACTCTTCTCGATCTTCTGCATCCTCCTCCTCTTCCTCTCCTCCTCCTCCTCTCCTCCTTCCTAGCTCTATGCCTCCTTCTCTCTTTCTCTTTCTCTTTCTCTTTCTCTTTCTCCTCTACTCCTGTCTCCTCCTATATTTCCTCCTCCTCTCCCTCCTCCTCATCCTCCTCCATCTCCCCCCTCCTCCTTCCCCCACTCCTCTCCTCCTCCCTCTCACTCCTCCCTTCTCCTCCTCCTCTCCCTCCCTCCTCCTCCCTCCCCTCCCTCCGTCCCTCCCTTCCTCCTCCCTCCCTCCTTCCCTTCCTCTCCTTCCCTCCTCCCCCCCCTCCTCTTCCTCCTCTTCCGGAGGCCTCCAGAGGTCCTATGGAGGTCCCCCGAGGCCCCTGGAGGCCCAATGGAAAGCCTCCAGGAAACCCCAGAGGGCCAACAATGTGATGCAAGAGTACGCAAGAAGCCTGATGCTCGATCCTCGGACCTCGATCCTCGAACTTGACCCTCGGTCCAAAAAACAATGCCCAAGTCTATTTCATCACCCCGGGCTCTCACGTTGAAGACGTCATGGCTTCGCAGCAGCTTGCCAGCAACTTCGTGTTTACATGGTGTGTGGCACTGCAACGTTTGTCCACCAGCGTTTTTCCCGCCAACAATGGGCATCCGAAGTATATAATTTCACGCAACACGTGCAATGCCAATTCCATCGTCAGTTTGCCCTCCTCCCCTTCCTCCTCCCCTCCCCTCCCCCGCATCCCCTCCCCCTCTCCCCCTCTCCCTGGTCATGGCCGAACGTGCCAACAGGCGCAACTCGTTTTGCCATTGCCTACGGCAAGTTCGTATCGTGCCGGCTTCGGCGTTGGTTTCCGACACCGCGGGGATCGTGCAACACTGAACGGTCGGCCGTTTCCGAAACATCAAATCGTTCAACATCGACCGACTCTGGGTCGCCGGCGGCGTCCAACGTTGAACGCTAGCGGCGGCGGCGCCGCCAGTCGATACGACGCGAACCTGGCGCATGCGTTATCTCGGGTGCACGGTTTTGTGTGTGTGTGTGTGTGCGTTGTGTGTTGTGTGGGTTGTGTGGGTTGTGTGTTGTGTGTTGTGTGTTGTGTGTTGTGTTGTGTGTTGAGTTTGTGTATGTGCGTGTGTGTTGTGTGAGACGGTGTGTGTCGTGTGACTGTGTGTGACTGTGTGTGTGTGACAGTGTGTGTGGCTGTGTGTGCGTCTCCGCTTGTGGGGCGCGCGCGGCCTCCACACGCAATGGGGCCTGGGAAGGGGGAGGGGGGAGCGGAGGGGGAGGAGGAAGAATCGGAATCGGAATCGGAACAGACGCGAAACGTCGCTTACAAGCAAGCCTCTTTTTGGCGAGCACGCACGGCACACGCGCACGCACGCGCACACACAAGAGACAAGACAACATACATAACTCTTATGCAACAGTGTGTTCACCTTATTTCGTGTCCCTCCACAAAATAAGCAAAAGAGCTGGAGAATCGTGATGCATCAACAAAGTGTTCACCCTGTATCAGAAAATGCCAGCGCCCTGCAACTTTGTTCTCCGGTCTGCAATGACAAGCAATACACATAACAGAACCGAGACTGCCTGATCAAGTTCCTCCACTGAGTAAGCACCCGCGCAACTACCGAAGGCCACAACAAAATGTCGCAACGAAAACGTGATGTGCACCTCTCTCACGGTCACTGCTGCTTGCACTTTTCATCTGGAGGGGTTGTGGACTTTGGCGGATGCGAGACGGGTCTCGAAGGAGGCGGACCTGGAGATCCCGTCACTTGGTTCTTCGCGGAAGGGACATATGGCGAAAGCGGGATGGCCGTCCGACTGCCAGCAGCTCCTCTTGTGCGCCCCGGAGAAGCGCCGCCAGCGACCCGTGGCTCCCGCTGAAAGGCACCCGCCGCGACCGCGGGGCCTTTGCTGGGAGCGGAGGGCACGCCGAGCATCACTTCCACTCTCTCCTCCGACTCCCCCTACACGGCGGCGCTCGCCGACATCCTGGGAGGTTCTCCATGGGCTGCCGCAGGAGCGTCCACGGGGACTGCCGCCTCCACCCCGCCGCTCGCCTCCCCCGCCTTGCCATCCCTCCCCAGGGCGGTCATCCCCCGTAGGAGCCCTGTTGGGGCTGTGGGAGGCTGGGGGGCCGAGGCATCGCCATCAGCAGCGCCGAGCTCCACGATCGCCGCCTGCGGCGCGAAGGACGTTGGCCAGGGCCTCCCCCAACAGGGTCGGGCGGCAGCCCCTGTGCCCCATGGCGTGGGGCGCACGTAGGAGCGCCTGCGCCGCGCGAAACTGCGCCCGCGCTGCCTGCGCCCTCCGCTCCGCAACCGAGCGCCGGGGACGACCAGCGGCGCGCCGGGGCGGCTCCATGCCGGGCGCGGGCGAAGGGCGAAGGGAGGGGAGAGGGAGAGAGAGGGGGGGGGCAGCGGCGTGGGCCGCCTGGCGCGGGCTCGCGAACCCGCGGGGGTTGGGCCCGAGCTGGCGCTTGAAGGAGGAGGAGGAGGAGGAGGAGGAGGAGGAGGAGGAGGAGGAGGAGCAGTAGGAGGAGGAGCAGGAGGAGGAGGAGGAGGAGGAGGAGGAGGAGGAGGAGGAGGAGGAGGAGGACCAGCAGGGGGAGAGGCACTTGCGCCTTCCAATTTGGCGAGTGTGAACACCAGCCGCGCCGTCTTGCCACGAGGCCGCCAACGCGTAAGGCACAAACCTCCCCCACACGTGGAGGAAGATGACAAGGGCAACACCCGCTGAGACGAGCGACATCCTGATCACGAAGGGTGCTTTCACACTATGCAATAGTTAGTTTCCGCGACGACTTTAGCGACGCGCGCCAAACAGGGGCCCCTCCGATTGCCTGGGCAACGCGCGCGTACAATTGCTTTTTTTGTCGGCCAACAGGTGTTGCATACACTCCCGTCGCCCCGCAGCTCCTCGCACCTGTGCTGTCCACTTTCAAGAGAGCGCGAGGTGGGCGCATTGGCTACTCAGCACCAGGAAGCGAGCGCGAAACTCATCGTCATCAACGCTGCAAAAGTCGGCGGCGTCCTCAACAAGCATGCCAGCGGGAGACCGCCATGCAGAGATGATCCAACTTCGAGGTCCTGGAGCCTGTCGAGATCTGCCTGCAACTGCTTGGCCCACGGGTTGACAGCGTCGGCCACTCTTCCCTCCGATGCAAGATCGGGTCGTCGAAGCGAATCCCACCGAACACGACCGACGCGAACTGGGCATTATCGCTGTTGTGCGCGACGAGGTTTCGGAGCCACTTAAGTATGCGTGTCTGGAGTTCCAAAAACAGAGGGGCCATCCTGAACTTCCGAAGCACCTCCAAGCGAAGCTCTACCCGAACGCGCTGCGCCCCAGAATCCCAAGGCGAGGTGCCCGTGAGGACCGCCCTGCACTTGGCATCTATGTAGCTCTGAAGGTCCCTCAGCCCCCCCTCGCGCAGGGGCCCAGGCCCATGCGCAACGACCTCCATCCCCGACAGCGCCGCGTTCACCAAGGGCCCCCTTGACCATCGTTCTCTTGATGCTGAAGGGCGCATCCGGATACCAAGAAGGGCCCGCGCTGTGAAGCGCCGCCTTCAGCGCACTCATTCGCCGGTGAATCTCTGGCCCTGGGGCGGAGGTCGCCGCCTGCAATCCGCCTGGGTATCTGCGGCGATGAAGGGCGCGGCCATCAACTCCACCGATCTGGCCCCTGCAGAACTGGCGCTGTGCATTCTGGGCCCACCGCCCGCAAAGATAATGCGTTTTCTTGCCTGTCCTTGCGTTGCCCTGCCCCCACCCGGTTGGGGCCCTCGCCTGTCGCGTCGTTCTCGAGCTGCCCCCCCTCGCAATCGTCGTCGCGATGCCCCCCCCCCCCTCCCCCAACATTCTGTCGGCCACGTCGTCGACGCGGCTAGTCGTCGCGAACCGCTCACTCCACTCGTCACCCCGAAGCAGAAATGAAGAAGGCCGCAATATCTACTGGCATCGCCATGCAGTGCGGGCGCGGCCGCAAGAAACCCTCGCAAGAAACCCAGCCCTGAAAATCCGCGCGCGAGGTGCACCCCAGGGGAAACCCAAAGCACCCTCACCGCAGCAGCCTCTTCGACGGCTGCGGAAATACACCGTGCAGCTTGCGGGGCGAAGAAACCCAGGGCACCCTGACGAGAAGTATGTGGTTTCTTGGTGCGCGCCCCCACTGTAAGACAGAACTTCCTGAAACTCAACGTCTACCACGCGCGCGCTAACGAGCCTGCCAAGGGGGCCCTGCCTCCTGACATGCGCCACCTCGCCAAGGCAATCTCCGTCGCCCTCAAGGCCGCACTCGGCGGGCTCCGCCCCGCCCCCCCCCCCCCAGGGGGCGCCTTCTCGGCGATCGCAATTAAAACCAGAGGGGCGCAAATCTCAAGTTCAACAACTTTCCACACTTTCCACAACGCCAGAGTTTGAAGCAACAAAAACCAAATTATTGATTCAACAACGAAGCGTTTCTGATTCAAATGCCCAAACAGAGCCGTTTCAAAACAAGCGCGCTTTCACAAATCATGGCTCCGAGCTACCAGGGGCCCCGAACGGGCCCTGGCCGCGGCGGCCCCCGCGGCGCCGCCCACAGATCAACGAAGATTGTCTGGGTGCTTCACCACGCAGCGCGCCTTCGAACAGACAACCCGAGAGGACATAGGTGGTCGCGGCGCCGGCGGCGGTTCGTCATCTGAAGGAGGGCCTCGAGGCAAGGGAACCAGTTCTTGCTCGTGCATAGATCAGCCCAGAACTCGCGCACGGGCTCGGAATCGGTTCTGCAAAATAGCTGCGTCGCTCCTGTGCCCCCGGAAAACTGTCGCGATTCGTCCGCGATGAACGTCTTGCCCCTGGGGTCGGTCGCAGCAGGAGTCAACGCCCTCTAAAATCGCCTCGCGGCGCAACGTGTAGTGCGCGTTCACTCCGTCGTGGCTGCGCTGCAAGTGAGATATTCCTACTTCCTGCGTCCGAGAACTTCCCCATTGCCGCGTCTCTCCCCCTCCTCCTCAGTCCTGCGCGCGCGCAGTTCGGCGGGCTCCACTTCGGAGCTTCCCTGGGCGAGGCAGCGCCGTGAAACGCTCCCCCTAAGCTGCGCGCGCATCGCCATTATGAGCCTCTCCCCCTTCGTGTCCAACTTGCGGTTCCCCTTGGGTGCCCTCGCAGCTTGGGCGGAGTGCCATGTTACTGGGCGTCTACCATACTGGCGGCAGGAGACCAAAACTACCATGAACATGTCCTTTGTGAGGTCTACCTTGGGGACCTCATCATCATGTCCCACACCAGAGTGACCCTGGAGCTTCCCGTCGTTGGTCCATTGGGGCGCAGCACGAGCCTCAAACATTCTGGAAGGGCACTCCATCTCGGCCACGTGCGCCAGCGAAGACGCCGTGCACTCTTATCCAGTTCGCGCCGGTACTCTGCAGCATGGAACATCGCATCTGTCGAGTCGAGCTCCACTCGGCTCTGCCTGGTGATCTCGGCAACGATCACCGGCGGGGCCTCGGCGACCGCGGGGAAGTCACCAGAGAGCGGGTCCGGCTGCATTCGGGGTGCCCAGCTCGAGGCAGAGGCCGCCGCACATGCAATGGCCGTGAATCCGCGCTGCCTGGGACCTCTTTTTCGGCGCGCCAATAACCTACCAAGTTTCTGTACTAAGTAGTTGTTATGATCCGCTGCTGCTTTCCTGCTCTCGTCGCAACTCTTCCTCTGAATCTCCCTCCCGTGTTCCTGGTTCCTCCTGGCCTGCTTGCTCAACTCCTTCGCCCTCCTGTTGCTGCGCTTGCTGCTGTTGTCGCTGCTATGTTGCGGCTTAAGTTCCCTGCGTTCCTGAAGTAATTGCTTTAGCTCGTCTAGGTGTTCCCGGTGAGACTCGCTGAACAGGGGCGGCTCTTTGAGGACTGTAGTGGTGGCGTCGTTCAGAACCCCCAAGAACATATCATCGATGTTGTCCACATCTCCAGCCTCGCGTGCCTCGCTGATACTGGGGGAGACCTCGTGGGCGAGCTTTTCCATGTCATCGAAAACCTCCTTCCTCTGATACCCTGTCTGGACGCAGCGGGCCCCTCAGCGGCATGGGCACATCGATCATGCGAGCGATGAAGCTGGCATATACGGGGCGGTGATATCTGTCCACCTCGTTGGCTCCTAGCTGTAGACGTCGAACTGAGGTGGGAAGCGCTCGCGTGTATTCGACTGCCCGCTGTGCCCCCTGCGGCAAACAAAATGGTCGATATGACTGGAACTGCCCGAATTGGAATCAAACGTCGCCGCGCAATCGAAGTGGGCATTGAAACTTGTCATCTCCCATTCCTGCATCGTGGGTCGGACGCTCGCAGAACTGGGTGTCACTTTGCCGTGCCCGAATATGCCTGCCACTTGGTCTTCATGGCGATGAGGGAAACCACCATTGGGATCGCTCTCTAAAAAACCAGGGCCTCACCCAGCCAGTTGTCAAGAGAGCCGAGGGTCCTTTCGTGTTTTGAC